GTTTTTCAACCTCAACTGTGCGTTTCAGGTCCAGAAACGCACAGTTCGAGCCCAGAACGCTGTTTTCAGCGTTTAACTCGTTCAAGCACGATTTGAACGGTTCCAGAACCGTTTTCTCCCCAAGATTTTAGGGGATCACTACCCTATCATGGAGAGATTTATGGGGAGCAGTTAGACCCCATTAAACCCTCATTAAGGAGATATTTAAGGGGGCGGTTATACCCTTAATCCCCTATAAATACCTCAAAACTCAACTGAGTTCGGCCTGGGATTTTGGCTTGGGAGAGAAGGCTTTTGGCTCTGGGCTCTGGGATCCTTCTTTTTGGGCAGCAAGGGGGAGATCGACGTTCATCCTCAGCAACGATCGACCACAGGAGCATTCCCTTGGCTTATAACCGACTTTCGGTTCAAATCAACTCTTTTTCAAGAGTTCAAAACTTGCTCTGCAAGTTCTTCTAAAACTCGTCAGAGTTATCAACTCGATCAGAGTTCAAAACTTGCTCTGCAAGTTCTTCTAAAACTCGTTCAGAGTTATCAACTCGTCAAGAGTTATTTTCCAAAACTTGCCACGCAAGTTCTCCACAGCGTCAAATCGTGAGGAGATGACATCGTTCCAGTGAATCAAGACGTTCGGATCGTCAACGGAGAGCAAGTTCGACGTGATCAATCGAAGGAGGCACTCCACCGCTACCAAGAAGAACCCAGTTTTAAACAAAGGGGAGAATCAAATTCATTCTCCTCTCTTTTGTAATCGGAATCCAAATTGTAATTGATTTTGAGGGAATACAAGTCAAATTTTCTTTCATTATTTCTTTTACTGCAAATTTCCAACAAACAGTACATGATAGCAAAGGAAGATGTCTAGTTGTGTATATTCTTGGAGAATCTGGCTATAGTGCAATATGTAGTAGATAATGTGGTTCTCTATTATGATAGCATGTCGACAATTGGTAATTAGGAAGACTCAAATTAGTTTGTAAAATTGAATAAAAATTCAGATTAGGTACCACTTCATTAAGAAGTAGGAGAAGGAGGTCGTGTTGAGTGTATCCTTACAAGGCAGATGATTACGGATCTATTGATAAAGGGAATAGCTGAGGAGTAGCTACTACAACACACTTGAGCCGTAAAGGCTACGTCTTTAATTGCGATGTTCTATTTTTTGTCAAGACCTCAAACACTAAGGATATTATAGATGATGGCTTAATAAGACATTATGTTTATTTGATTATCTTTTTCTCATCTATATGCATATTTGAGATTGCTTACGTATTTTTATTATTTGATTATTTTAGCATGGAGTATATTTTGTATATGGTGTATATATGGTACACAAAGGACACTAGATGCAGCATTTGAAAGTTACATCAACAGGTAGGAGCTATTATCACATAAGAGATCTCCCTTGAAACTGATGTAGTTGTAGATGTTGAGACCGAGTGCCAGGCGTCATTTATCTAGGAGCACTGACAGCGCTATTGTATCACTTGGGAGACAATGGGAGCAGTCTATTGGTCACCATGACTAGGTCAAGATAAGGTTGTTGTGTATTTATACACTGAAGCAACCATAATGGAATCCCCACATCTAATTTTCCTATTTACTAATAGCCAGACTAGGGGTCTAACTTGGCGCATGAGGAGATGACTTTCGGGAGATCTTAGGCACATCGCAAGGCAGTATGGCTAGATAAGTTCATCACAGGGTTATAGAACTTGGGCATGTATAGTACTTATTTAATGATTTGTGCTTATAGAGAGAGAAATAATATTGTAGCATGTTGTTATATGACGTGTGTTTCAATCGGACATCAAAAGGTCAAGGGATGGATCCCTGCTCCTTTGTTGTGTGATCCCTTATCGATGACCACTAGTGATGAAGAACGATCATTAGACCCTTAGAGAAACTGAGCTGTCTTGGAAGGTTATTATGAGTATCCACTACTTTGGCGATTATTTCTTGTTGTAATGAGACAATACCGCACATATGGAGAAGTATCAAGAAAGCAAGTGATAAGCAGGCCTAACTGTTCAGGGCTAGAGTAAAATTTATTGACATGTCCCAATTGCATCTCATGACCAACTCTTATTTATGTCAAAGGCAGGATATAAAAGTGCCATGAATCGAGGATGGACCATGCTGTTCATGTATGCTTATTTGAGGGATCGAAGATACTTAAGCAGACATTATTGACCATATCTAGCGTACAAGATACTACATACTTACACTATTTCTTGTGTATTTTTCTTTTATGGAGATCTTTGCATTGATCCTAACGGATATGTCTACAAGGCTATTATCTGCTTGTAGGTTCTCAACTGTTTGCACTGCACTGACAATGAATAGACATGGATTTAAAAGGAAAGCAGATTTTCAAGGAGACATTGACTCATAAAGTCAATGACTCAGGGAGGGCTCAGGAAGCTAAGGACAACACTCTATCTTTGTACGAGTAGGTGTATGTTAATTTTACTTGTGGAGTATGCCCAAATTAATGGTGGATACCCATACTTTTGAAACCTAGTTGGACTAGGTTATTAACTCTCGCAAACCCTATAAATAGGAAAACAAAGCTTTTAAAGAAGAGAGAGAAAAATATACAATAAACTTCATAGAATATCCATCTTCTCCTTCATCAGTTAGGTTCATGTTAAAAACGTAGTTGAAGTGTGATATCCGAGGGCTTCTCACTGTTTTAACAGTGTGGTCGCTCTCTGATCATTGATCAAGATGGACACGTCAATCCTTCTGGAAATGATTCGTTTGGTAAATGTTAAACTTATTGTTTATGTTTACTAGATGCATGTTAGGGCTTCTTTATTTATGTTGTGCATAATCTAGTTGTAGATTAACCCCAATGCATGCGTATAGTTATCTGAATCCCACACCCTTATTCTGAAATCTTTTCAATAGTTTGGGTTTTGCGTGTACACCTTTGATTTTCTTAAATTTGCATTAATTCCCTTCTATCACTGAACTCCCCCCTCCCCCCTACCTTCATCCCCTCGTCGGCCGTGGCGGCTACCTAATCCCAATCCTTCCTCCAAAAATCAATAATCACTACCCTTCCTCGTCACCTCATTTTGTTAAGAATAGAGCTTTTGGGAGAAAGGAGACTTTAGAGAAGAGAAGAGACTTTTTGAGAAAAATGGAAGAGAGGAGACTTTTTTATTCATTGTATAGAACGCTTAACTACAAGAGTAAGAGGAGATATCTTGGAATTCTAATCGATGTCGGACTAAAATAAAGGAAAGCAGATATCCTAATACTACTATATATAACACCCCCCATCAAACTTGCGGTTGGTAGAGAACCGGGAGTTTGGATAAGATGAATAAAATTTTGCATAGATGATTGTTGGCATGGCTTGGCGAGAGCTGGTTGAATTGGAGCACATTGGTGGTTAGAATTGCAGGCAGTGTGTTATTGCATTGGTGATTGTCAGTCATGCACTGTGGTTGCGAGAGGGCACACCTAGTGTCGCGAGAGAAGGTGAAGTGGATCTTACAAGCGGTGATGTATAATGTTGCAGCAGTTTTCGGTAATCATGCATGGTGGTCACGAGGGGGCAGACCAGCAGCGCGAGAGGAGGCATGGTGACCGGATCTTGCAAGCATCAGTGAGTTGAAAGTGCTTGACTAGAGAGATCTTGGCCAGAGGCTAGCCAAGGAGAGAGAAATATCACTAAGACAATCTGTCGTACACATTGTGTGCATGTAATGAATAGTTTGTGCAATTACACCTATCAGAGTAGCAGTGATGGCAAGTATAGGTTTGTAGTGGGGAAACTGCTAGGGTTTCGCAAGATGATAGTTTGCAGCATTAGGGTTTGGATGAGGGTTGAAGCCGCAAGGGCGATGACGACCAGCGGATCCTACTTGGTCGGAGCTGATCGACAGTGACGAGGGTTATCCTTGGCAGTAGTGGCGGCCAAAAAAAGGTTGATGTCGAAGCGATGAGGTTTAGGTGAACAGTACTTCCGCAGGTGAACAATATCTCCTGGGTGAACAGTGTCGTTCGTCAAATATTAGGGCTAGGGATTATTTGCATTGAGCAAAGGACGGTGAGATATTGTAAGTGATGGGGTTGTACGTCAAGGTTGAATCCGGTGTTGAGGCCGCTGAAAGGAAGACAAAGTTTTTGCAAAAACCCTCTCAGCGACTCAATGTAAAGGAAGAAGAAAGTGGTCTCTCGAAGATCAAGAGAATGGCTTTAATACCATGTTAATGAGAGAGCTTTTGGGAGAAAAGAGATTTTAGGGAAGAGAAAAGACTCTTTTAGAAAAAGGAAACTTATGGAAGAGAGAGGATATTTTTTATTCATTGTATTGAATTGCTTAAATACAAAAGTAAGAGAAGAAGTCGTAGAATTCTAATCGATGTAGAAATAAAATAATGAAAAACAGATATCCTAGTGCCACTTAAAAAATCTTTCTTATCAAACTCACTATAAACTAATTAAATCACCATCACCTCCTCTTCTTTCCTCATCAAACCTGTTAACCCTCTCAGCCATGGCTTTTTGTATGCTAGACCAGCGATTCAAATTTTCAAATTAGTTCCTCTTTTGATATTTTTAAATTAGTCCACTAATCTTTTGAGTTTTTTAAAATTAGCCCCTCAAATCTTGATATTATAAAATTATACCCCAAATCTCTTTTTTTTAAATGCAGATAGGGTATCTTAATCAGCCAAGTTCTTAACAACACTCTGTTTAAAAAACAAAGGGACAGAAACAAACCAAAAATATAAGGACAAACAGTCAACCGATTTAGCTAGGAAGTGTGCAACACCATTACAAATGCGTCTTATATAAAAAACTTTAGAGCAGTCAGTAATAATCTTCATCTGTAATAGGAGCCAAAAAAGCAAAAGGAGAAGGAGAATCTATTAAGAAAACAACCTTTCTGAAATTAAGCCACACGCGTGCGAATAATGGCATGTCTGCTGATAAACCACAGGTGTGCGAACAATGGCCTTTCTAGAACAGAATATCTTCTGACATATTCTCCCAAAGTTAATTTTATGCTATAAGCACTCTCACATATTATATTTTCATTATAGGCCACTAATTACAAAGATTACCCAAAAGTAATAAACTGTACAAAGGTAACAGGACCAAAAGTGCAAAAACTAAAAAAAAAAAGTCATACTACTGATCTTCACTTTCCTTTTTACACTTTCCCCCCTTCTTCTATCTACAGGAGAGCCCACTCGTATCTTCCCTCCATTGGCGCATCCTTAACAACATCGTAGTTGTACCTGCAAAGCTAAGTTTAGCAAAGAGCCATGCGTAATGCTTAAATGAGGAATTAATGCATGCTCACTTAACTTGTTCATGAACCGTTTCTTCTCCTCTCTCTCCGCCTCCGTAAAGAACTCCTCTATCTCCTTCGCCGTCCGGGTCTCCGCCATTAAGTCTCTAATTCTCATAGAAGTTGTAATTCTATTTAAAAAAAATAAAATAAAATTAAGGAAAATAACTATTAAGGACTGACCTTTTTATGTTGCTATTGTAGCTCCGATAAGGGACCCGTCCTGGATTCTTGCGGATAAACTTCATCGGACCGGGTTCCGTCACCGCGAGTGCGCCGACCGCTTCTTTGCTTTTCGTCATCTTCTCTTCTTCTTTCGAGCCGCGGTGACTGGATCCGCCAGCTGAAGGAAATTTGGGTTTATATGGGGTTTGAAATGGCGGTTGGTACTTCCGTCAGTTTTAACGAGGATTTTAATCGTTGCCGTTAGCATGCGGCCGTTGAGAGGACGCGTGGAATGCCCTAGGAACTTGCTAGACGTGAGTAATCTACTCGTGTCAGCGCTATCGATCTGGACTCGTGCAGAAGGCAAATGCAGGGGTGCTCCAAAACCTTGAATTGTAGAAATAAAGTCTAGTAGAAATTGATTCAATATTTCAAAAAAGGAATTCGTTTCTTGAGTTGCATTCTGTTAGGTCATGAATAATAATGCGAAATGTCTTTAAAAAAATAATTAAATTAAATTGTATCATAAGTCAATACTGGAAAATACAATTCTCTTTATAGATGAAAATAATAAAGAACACACATGCCCAATTTCTCAAAGCGGGTATCCAGGCCCACAGCCCTCCAGCAGCTTAGGCTTATGTTTCGCAAGCTTTGCAGCCCAGTTCTCTTTGGTTTTTGAAAGGTATAATTACCACGTAAGTACTGTATTGACAGATATTTTTAAAAGAATAATGATAATGATTAGCATATGTAGTTTAAAATTAATCCAGATTTGAGAAACGATTTTTAGAAGATGAAAAAAAAAATCCAACAGTATTGTATTTGGGCTGATTACGACGTACGATTTAGACACATTGTGTTTTCGCATTATGCGTTAATCGTTATTGGAGCCATGTTTCTTTGATTCGATGGCAGGCGATAAAGCCTGTGTCACCCAAATTGACTTCGCTAAGTTCCGATTTGAGCTAGATGAATTAAAGACGAGAGTTACTCAGATGAAGAATATCATAGACCGACTTGGGTTGGTGGTGGGACATCTGAATTTGGGATGAGTTTAAGATCGTGTTGAAGGTCGTCAAAGTAGAGATCCAATTCTGCAAGACAAATCCTACAACGTTGATTGTAGATGCTATCGAAGAAAGGAAATCTATGGCTCTAGCGGATTAAAGATACCATCCTTCGACGGAGAGCCTCATGGTAATGATTTCCTTGATTGGATTGATAAGGTGGATAGATATTTCAAGTATGAGATGTTCGTAGAAAATTAAAAAGTTGAATTAGTTGCTTACAGACTTAAAGGGAAAGCATCTGTAGGGTGGGACGAATTATTGATAAATTGATACCATCAAGGGAGGGATCCAATTTCAATGTGGTGAAGTTGAAGAAATTGTTGAGAGATCATTTCCTATCTTCTAACTACAAATAATGTTGGGTGTCTTTGCATGTTTTTTTTTTAATTCTTTTATCTTAGCTGACACAGTTTGTCAAGCAAAGAAGGTGGAGCAAAAACTTGAGCAAAACAATAAAGGACCTTCCTCATGGACATTTTCAGAGAGTTCTCATGCTAGTCATAATTATGGCAAAACTATGAGATATTGATTCATCTCCGAGAAAGAGTCTGGATTTTTGAAGAGCACAAAAGAAGCAATAGAAAAGACTTCACTAATGTTGATGTTAAGTAATCACACAGTCAATTATTGAAATTATCCTAGAGAGGGGTGAATAGGGTATATGCTAATCTAATCCGATTTAATACCAATTTAAAAATTATTAACAATTATATCCTAACAAGATTGATATTTAACAAAATATGAGCAATGATATGTAATTAAACAAGGGCGAAATAAACATGAACAAATATGCAAATGAGATGGTGAAAAATGACAATCGCAAACACACAATGTGATCACGGAGTTCGGTCACTCCCGACCTACGTCTCCGCTTCTTACTCTCGAGGAGAATCTTCACTATCTCAACCGATTTTTAACTTTCACCGAAAACGTTCACAACTCACACTACACAATCAGTTTTCAACGCTCACTGATAAACATTTACAACAATCACAATGTAATCCCACAACACACTGTCTAAGTATTGGTCTAGCTCGTGTTGCTTTTCTCAAGTACTCTGATTTATAATCTCTCCCTAGGCTTCACTACCGACGTCACACCTCTTAGAATCGACTCCGTCTCTCACCACACACTCCTTTCGGTATACTTGTGTATTAAAATATGATCTCTTAACAAATAAACTCAAATACAAATTGGTTAGTTATCTAACAAGATGAGAACTCAATTAAGCTCACACTCAATAATACAATCTCACAACCCCAATATACTACGTATGAAAATACATAAGCTCAAGTGGGTGTGTGTAATTAATGAGTATAAACAAAATCAAACTCGAATTAATCTAGCAAATATAAATATGATAATTTAAGTATAAACAAGCTAGATAATTGAGTTTAAAAAACTTTTCCAAAATCACAAAGAAATGTAGATGAAGGGATGAGGTTGAATTCCTCAAACCGAAAATGTAAGCCTCTTCTTTGTGAAAATTTCTTCACACAAAACAAACTTAAAAAACACTTAAACATCCTTAAACACTTATAAAAACTTGTTTTAAAACTTTCTTAGGTAATCTAAAATGTTTAGACTAAAGGGGTAAATATAGGATCACAAAACAAACCCCAAAAACAAAGAAAAACCCAACAAAAACGACAAAAACCTAAAAATTGTGAAAACTAAAAATATAGCCGTTGGAACGCCGTCGGTTGACTGATACTATTCATCAGTCTACTGATGAGCTGACCATTACAGGCCACTCACTTGTTATCGGTCGACTGATAAACTCATCAGTCGACTGATAACCTGCATCGGTCGATTGATGGTTCATCAGTCGACTGAGTAGAAACAATCTGCTATTCCAACGCGTTTCATCAGTTGACTGATATTGTTCATCAGTCGACTGATAACGTGCACATGGCATATAATGAACAATTAAAATAAACTTTGAACCCCTTAAAAAATAGCAAATAAATTCTAAAAATTATAAAACTTTGGAAAATGTTTATAAACATGAAGATAAACATATTACAAAAAGTTTTTTTAAATTGTATTTTCCATTTGTGAAAACTCATTATTTTACAAAATTAGTTAAAATACGAAAATCTCAAAAATACATGATTTTGACAAAATGATTTCAAACAAGTTTTAAAACTTCTTTTGAAAGGATTAATAGACTTTATAAAAGATATAAAATAATATAAATGAGTCTTTTAATCCGTAAACACATATTTTGCAAATAAATATGTTTTCATTGATTTAAAATTATTAAAGCTTGATTTTTTAAATCATTTCAAGCACATACAAACATGAAATAAATATGTGTGTATATATAATTATATCCATTTGTTTCATATTTATGTGGCTAAACTTGAAGGCAATGAAAACAATGTGTGTGTATTATTTAAGCTCTAAGTATCAACACACAAAGTATAAATACCTAAACTAATATACCCAAGATAAATGATCTCATGATGTTTAATCTTGGGCAATTCTCCTCTTTGTAGTATGGATGAAGCAATAGTGTGTCTTGGACTTAAATGCATTGTGCTTCATTTCAAATTTCTTCCATCCTCCAATGAATATGATCGTGTAGGCGCAATCTAACTAACTTCCAACGAATAATCTTTGTGTAGAATAACTAACAATCAAATGTAAACACTCGACAAACGTTGTTAGAAATTGTTTATAAATCATTAAAACTAGATTAGATAGTAGGCTCATAAACATGAGACCTAACAATCCCCCTTTTTGATGATGACAAACAATTTATACAAAGAGATATAATAAGAATTGCTTGTTAATCATCAAAACTAGATTAGATAATAGGCTCATAAATATGAGACCTAATAATCTTCTCTTTTTTGATGATGACAAACAGTTTACACAAAGAGATATAATACATGCATGACATCAAATGAATATACAAATTATAATCCTCATGCATAAAACCAATAGAACGATATACTCACAGTTGACATGTTTCTTTCCCTTTGTTAACATCAAAATAGGGAAAACAAAAAGAGAGAAAGAGAGCGTCAAGCTCTCCCTACAAATAAGCATGAGCGAGCATAAAACAAATATAGAGAAAAAGGTACACCTATCAAAATGCCAAATAGAATGTATAAAATAATATACTAAGGTGTTCATATATGAGTAAAAACATATATATAGAGACACACTAATATCAACTCACATACAAAAAATACCAAGTGAACACTTACATATGTATTATTAAGACAAAGTATTATAAGGATCTTAAACATAAATAAAAAATATTCCAAAGATGAAAATCAAATATTCAAAAACTAAAAAATTCAAATGTTTGATCAATTTATCCAAAAGTTCACAAATCATTAAACATAAATCATGATTGATTGAGCACACACATAGATATATTATCATCAAAATTGTGTCTCAATACACGAACATATATAGATTTATGAAATCAAATGAAAGGAAAAACATGAGAATCATGAAAGATATTTTCACATGAAAACAAGTCATGAGAACCATTAAAATCATGACAATCATGACAATCATGAAAGTCCAAATGAAAATCAAAACAATCAAACGAATTTATAAATCATGATCTAAACCATAATAACATCGAAATATGCTTAATCTATAAATCATCATTTTTGAAGAACAAGTGATTAAGCAACTAGTAATGTCAAAACGTTTATATATTTTATCCACAAAGGTCATATGCTTATGACAAAACAAATGAATATGAATAATATCATTTTTGACAAGAAAAACAATCATGCCAAGCTCTTGGAGCTTGTTTCAACCCATAGAGAACCATTTCACACCCTCTAAACATGATATGAAAGAATACCAATGAAAGATCAATACATAAACCTCTTCTCCAAATTCAAAATCACTTTTTGAGAAACTCTAAACATTTTAAAAAGGAACTGTACAAATAAAAATATTTTCTTTTATTATAAAATTATCAAAACTTTGTTTTTTTAATCTAAAAAATCATCTTTTAAAGAACATGAAAAATAAAAACTCTAAAAGTTTGTTCTTTAAAATAAAAAACATTTTGGTAGACAAGCACTTTTGGTACCGAAAAGTTTAGGGACATGACATCTATCATTAAAGCTCAATATCCTTGGGTTATAATCTCATTTGGATGCATGTGATGCACATGTCCGGTCATAGTAATAATTACTCAAATGACTCATTCTATTACAATAGGTGCAATGTAATGAATGCATTTGTTTAGGTTGCATGAGGAACATTTGCAAACAAATATAATTTATTTGAAGCATTTTGCAAATG